CCCCCACCCCCATTCTCTCTCACCTTCTCCTTGCTGTACTCCACCATGGCCGCGGCAAATTTCTTGGGGTCGTCCCCGCTGACAGTTACTGCCCCTGGCTGTTTGTTCAGGTACACCTGGGACCCGATCAGACTCTCGTTACGTCTGGACAGAGGGAAGGAAAAAAAAAATTAAATATATTTTTTTATAGTTAGAATTTTTCAGCATTTGCAACACAAATTGGTTATATAAGTGCTGTAGATTAGAGGCGTTACTAAAGAGTAACATACAGAGAAAAGAAGGAGGAGAGATAAGGACGATAGGTGTTTGATAGGAAAGAAGGAGTAAACCAAAGAAGAGCATATGCTCATGAGTATACACACACACATGCACGCACATACACACGCACACATACATACATTCACGAACACAAACAAACACATGCACACACACACACACACATTCACACATCAACTGCTCAGTGTAGCAGCTGACCAACCAGGATAGGAACTCACTTCCCCAGCCACTGCACACCGTCCTCACACCACTGCACCACCTGGTCGGCCAGTCCCTCAGTCAGGCCTTTCTGAGCCACGTGGACCAGGAACTCCAGGTAGCGCTGGCGACGCTTGAACTTCACCACTGGACAGATACAGACACAGCAAGAATGTCAGTGTTTATGAATGTACACACACATGTACATACACACAGACATGCACATCACCACTGGATAAACACAGACACAGGATACAACATAACAACAATGTGAGATTTTATAAATGTACACACACATATACATACACACAGACATACACACACACACACACACATACACACACATACACATACTTCACCAATGGACAAATATAAACACAGACACAACAACAGAGGTCAGAGTTTATGAAAGTACACCACTATCATCGACTCACCCTCCTTGAATGCCACAAAGCTAGGCAGGTAGGAGACATAAGGTGGGGGGGGGTATAAGTACCACTATCATCGACTCACCCTCCTTGAATGCCACAAAGCTAGGTAGGTAGGAGATGTATGGG